TTTTTTTTTTTTTTTTTTTTTTTTTTCACAGTACATTCCATTGTGTGTATGCATATACTCTGCACATCTCATGGATTGCTTGCCTTGAAATCCATGTATAAAAACAGCTAAATGAATTGCACTAAGTGTATTATTTTAATAGGCTGTCAGACCTGGCCCTCAAGCTACATGAAATATATGTGACATAGCCCTTATACCTGCAATGTTGTGGGTGCTTCTGATAAAGGCAAGGGGATATTACTGAGGTTGTGCTTAGCTGGCATGCATAGTTCTTTAAATTATTTGCTCTGATTTATTTTCAGGCTCTCAATCAGTGCTTTGGTCTGGGGAGGGGGGTGCATGTTGTGCCTTATTGTCTGTCAATCATTGGTCATGCTGCTCTGTAATATATGATTGCTTATTGTTTAAAATTTGTGTCTTAAAACAGTTTTATTTTTCTTTCTAAAAAGGTTGGTTAAGACCAAAATATGTAGGAGACCAGTAACAGTTGCAATTATGTAATGAACAAATTAAATATAATAAAAGTTTTGGTTCAACCTGGGAAAAATGTGTTTTGTTGTACATCTGTATTGAAAGTAACCCTGTACAAAATGCTCATAGACTGTTCAGACTGCGTCCTACTGTCACTGCTTTTTTTTAGGGATGCACTGATACCACTTTTTTTGGGTCTGAGTACGAGTACCGATACTTTTTTTTTAAGTACTCGCCGATACCAATTACCGATACTTTTTCTTAAAGGGGCAGATATAACTTTTTTTTTATGCCATCCTGTGCCCAGCCCACACCTGTAGTGTGGCACAGTTATATATCTAATTCTGCATACCTGGCTGTATATTATACATAAAAAAATGTAATATACAGCCAGGTATGCAGAAATAAATATAACTGTTCCACACTATATGTATGCATTATGCACTACAGTGTTCGGGCCTTGACATGTGCTCAGCCTCATCCATTTTCCACCATATGGGGATACAAGGCTTAGTTAGATAGAATAGCAAGCAGTAGTAATTTTTTTTTTTTTAATAAACCTAATCGGCAATTAGGTTTATAA